AAAACCCATTTTGACCTCGGATCATACTCTCTCTTGAAATCGTTTTTCCAGTTTGCTCTTCCCCCCCGCTTAGACTTTTTTTTGGCTGTTCCCCCGGGATTTACAGGGAAGTAAATCATTTCCCAATCTTTCAAACTTCCCCTTATATTCGCCCCCTCTTCGCACCCCACGCGGGCCCAATTTAATCGGGAAAATTGGGAAACCCTTTACTCACACCTACTTTTTTTAAAAGGGAGGTTCCTTCTTCGTCCTCCATGGGATGAGCTTTTACCCTTTCTCGTCCTCCGTTTTCCCCCGCAGCTTCTCATTTTTATACCCCCAAAAATTCGGGCAGGCATTCTCAGAAAAGGTTTCCTTGGTGGTCCCTGTTGTTCTCGGCAGTAGTTGAAACGCCCCTGCATGGGGGAGGGACCCGGGACAATAGAACCACAGAGCGACCCCCTTGAATTTTTAAAAAAAAGGTGCGATCGCTTCCCCCGGTCACCGTGAAACCTTTAAAAGCACTTCTGGGGAGATTGTCTCCACCATCACCCTGCTTCCTCCCAGTGCAGTTTTGGGAAAAAAAATACGAAAACCCGAGTGGTAAATATTTCCTGACCCGGCTCCCTTTTTGGGGGGTTGCCGGGGTTTTTGATATACAAACCCACTAGATGTTTCCCAAAGAAATTTTTCAATCATCTGGTCCGTATTTCTCAGGGACTCCATCTATGCCCCCCAAATTTTTTTCCCCCAAAATCTGCCAAAAGTTAGCACCTTTGGGTTTTCTTCTATCCCGAGAAGAACAGTATAATGTGCCTTTTACACTTCAAAAACTGGAGGGGAACACTCTCAGCTTTTCGAAACTCGGGGTGGGCCCCCAAAGGACCTTTTTATATTTTGTTTTGCTAAAACATTTACATCAGTCAGGGCCCTTTTCGTCCCTTTTTCGCCTTTTCAACTTTTTGGTCACAAGGGGTTTTCCACAGCTGTGGAAAACCGCCCTTGTTTCTCCCTTTCCGCAAACCCGGGCCCACCCGGGGCATGAAACCTCCCACTATCTCCCCCTTTTTCCTTTTCCCCGTGCAGTTTGCAAAGTAATGGAACGTTTGTTTAAAAGACTTTTTGTGTGGTATTTAGAGACACCCCAACCCGTCTCTCCCACTCCAAAATGGGTTTCGTAAGGGGGGCGGTTTTAAATAGACCCCCCTTTCTTTCGCTTGGGGTACTATGTTTTAATGCCTTTGCCCAATAACCATCAGTTATTGCCCTATTTTTTTTACCTTGAGAAGGCCCAAAGACACAACTTTTGGGGGTATAATATTTTAGCCCAAGCCCCCTCCTTAGGCCTTCGAGGGAATTAAACCCTCCTTCCTTTAAAAACTTTTTAAATGACAGGCATTTTCCCGGGTTTGGGTTTTAAAAATGTTCTCTCCCGGACTTTTCCCAAACTGAAGGTGTCCCCCAGGGGTGTTTTGGCAAAACACTTTTTTCCCCCCCCCCGCTATTAAAGATTTTGGGCCCCTAGTCTTCCCCTCAAAAATTTGGTCACACTCCCATGTTTAGACTTCGCTATTGCCCTGTGAGGGGCTGACTGTCACCTCCTTTCCGATTCTCTCCCGCATGCAGTCGACCCTTTTTTTCCATTTGGGCCCCCACACATTTGGGGTTTAAAAATTTTCCAGCACTAAAACCCACCAAAAACACTTTCACTAGACGCTCTGTCCAAACTTGGGTCATCCTTTGTAACCCCTATTTTCACGTTTCCCGAAGGAACAGTTTTTTTAAGTTTCTGGGCCTCCTCTTTGGGTCGTAATTTTTCCTGGGAAAACCCCAATTACCTCTTGAAGGCAACTTGTTTACGCCGGGTGAAAACCCTTTTTAAAACCCTTGCTCATCTTTCGTGGGGGGTGATCGTCGAACCCTTTCCTTTACCTACATTCCAACCCCTTTTTTTAAAACGAAAATTTATTAAGGGACCCAAACTTTCAAAGGGCCCCTCCTCTACTTTTCCAGCCTTAACCCCAATTTTATCACCAAAGGGTTAAAGTTTATGCCTTGGCTTTTCCCCTCTTTCCCCGTCGAAAGCCTCTATGCAGAACGGGAAAAGGTTTTCCCCCCCTTCCCCTTTTCCGATCCCGTGATGCCCCTTGCCCGCGGACAAAGTACCTCTCATGATCTCCGCAATCCTTCCCTTTAAAAGAATGGTCACTGATAAATTTTTAACATCCTTTTTTGTTTTGCCGCCCCTGCTTACTTCCCCCCTTCTTCTTCGCCTTCATTCCCCTCTTGTTTTCTTCAACTACCCCCTTTTATGTACAATTTGTCTCCCTTTTCCCCACCCCCCTGGGAAGTTCCAGCTGTTCCCAGTCTGTTCTTTTCCCCCTCCCTTTCTCGAAAGCCCAAATGTCTACGGGCGCTTCCCCCCCCTCTTTTTTTTGACCCCCTTTCACTCTCATTCCCCATGCCCTTGCTGTGTACACGGGTGGGTTTTAAAATCTTTTACGGCGTAGGATTCGCAGCCGTGTTTCCGGACACTCGTACAAGGGCATTTACTATTTCAGCTAGATTTTTACTGTGAAATTTTAGCCCTCCCCTTTCAGCCTTATCCGATTGCATCCCAAGCCTGTGTATATTTGTTTGGGTTTTCTTTTAGACTCCCTTTGTGCTTTAAAAGGGTTTAAAAAAATTTGATACACCTCACCCCCAAATCCCCCGTATCCAAAATTTGGGGTAGGCCCGCACTTTACTAAGCATAAAGATATTGTTTTTTGTTGGGTCCCCGGGGCATGTTGGTCAGGGCAATGAAAAAGGGGACAATGCTGCGCCCGGTTTAGGGATACATGACCTACCATTTCTTATAGGGTAATTTCCCTGTACGGGACTAAATTTTTCTGTAAATCTTCCCCCCTTCCCCCACCCTTGGGGAACAACTTTGGTTACTAGCCGGCAAAAAATTTCAGTTATTAAACCGAGTTAGGTTACTGGCCGTCTTCTTATACCAGTGTCGATTTGGGGGAGACTACTCTCTCCCTCTTCGCTTTGGGCCATACTCGTCTTACTCAGGGATACTCAGGAGGGGGCTCTTGCCCCTCTCTGTGAAATTTCCCAAGCCCATTACAGCACCACATTCGTTGGACTCCCCATTTTAAAACGACACGCAAATTTACCTCTTCGTCGTTTTCGCCCGCTGCCTCTCTTTACCTTCCCTTCTCGCGTGGACCCACCTTTCACCCGGGACTCTCTCATTGACTTTTTGCAACGTGACTGATTTTCCCAAATTCGATACTTTCCCCCTTTTCTCTTGTATCTCTTGCTACCCTCTCCCCCCCTACTATCCCCCCCCCCCGCTGTTTTCTGAAACCCTGCTGATCATCCCCCCCCCCTTTTCTGCCACCCCCTTCCCCTTGTTTCCTTTTCCCTCCCCGCAGCGCTTTTAAACCCTTGGGGCTTAGCGCTTCTTTTGATTATAAAATTTAAAATAAAAATAATTTAAACAGCAGTTACCGCTGTTAAAGGTTCTTGAAAATTCAAATCAATAATGCCCCTAATTTTTACTTTAAAATCTCTTAGGGGTAAAAAGACGCAATTAAGCTTTATAAACATAATTTTGGATTTAATGGAACTTTTTCACCCTAAATTTAAATTTAAACCCCCAACGGGCTGACTTTATAAATTAATTTTTTTCGAGTGTTTTTAGTGCATTTTCAGTGTATTATAAAGTAGTCTTGTTCCTCCTTTACCATGGCATTTTATCTCCCGGGGATCAAAGAATCTCAACCAAATTCAAATTTTTTGGAAAATGTGATTTAAAAAAAAAAAAAATTTGGCATGTTTACCTTTCGTATACAGCAACAAGAGACAAAATAAATTCATTTAATGCAGTGTTTCGTCCTTCTTTATCCGTGACCAAAATTTGCAAAACTAAGGGAACAAGTTTCGGTCTCTCCTAAGTGGGAACGGGCAAAGGGATGTCATGGGCCGGTGGTTGAACGGGCCTTCATCTCGATAATGCTTTCCTCACCTCTTTTTGACGTTCACCGGACTGTTAAACCAATTTTCATTTGGAATATAATCTTGTTTCTTAGGTTTTTTTTTTAAAGCATTAGCTAGGGAGTTTTTTCCTTTAAGGGAAAGAAAAAAATGCAACCGTTGAAAAATTTCCTGTTGAAAATTTTTTAAATTGTGGAGAATTGTATATGTAAGGGGTTTGAGTGTCGAGTGCAGAATGTCAATGTGGAACAGGGGGATGTAGGTACGTAGCTTGTTTATGTGGGAGGTGTAAACTTTGATAATACGTACATATTAAAACACGCAGTATGTATTTTTTTATGCACATCTGACTTTTTCCCCAACGTATTAACGTGAATATTCAGTTCCTTTAAAACTCTAAAAAAAAAGCTTTTCTTTTAATTCGTTGTGCAATGTAACTTTGAAGCTGTTTTATAAATTAAGCAAGTTGTTAACAGATTGTGGGGGAAATCCCGGGTGGAGCATAAAGGT